GGGCCCGATCCCCAGGGGATCCCCTAAACCGGCAGTCAGACATCCCTCTCACAATCCGGGACCACTGGATTCCTAACTGCCCCCCTGCAGGCCGGGTCACCCCTACTGCCCCCTCTGCAGACCTGGTCACCCCATGCAGCCTGCTGCTCAGTCATTTGGTCACCCCTCACTAACCCCCCTGCCGATCTAGTCTCCCCACGCAGCCTGTTCGGTCGTCCATTCAGTTGTGATGGTCGCTTAAGCTTTTATATATATAGATATGTTATTTTATTGATGTCTTCCTCTTTATGATTAGAAAACATTTTGCTTTTTTAAGGAGCTATTAAGTAAAAGAAAAAGAAGTGATATTTCAGAAACAGACCTCTGTCCTTTACCTCCAAGAAGATAATTAGCCAGCTATGGCCCAGACATTACCTTTTCAATATTCCTGCCCATCTCTAACTTTCTCTCCTCATACTCTGTGCGGAGTGTGGGAGTGTGGGTGAAAAGGATGACTCGGCAGAGCTTAGCTGGTGTCACTCACCCTCATTCTGCCCAGCCAGTTAGGTAGGATTGTAGGATTTGCCAGTGCGGTAGAGGCCCACAATAGCCACCACGACAAGGGGCTGGGTGAAGGCAGAGAGGATCTCCAACGCTTTCTGATTAACTACCAGTTTCCCTTTGATGTTCTCAATGAGGCACACTGGTCCTGGCATGTGGATCTCTGAGGCCATGTCCAGGGTGTGACCTTGTCTGCAAGGGAATAGATGGGATGGATTAGAACTTCCAGTCTCTAAGCAGAGAAAGTCATTTTGCTTCCTGAACCTGGGGACATTCTACTCCCCAGCATGGCCTAAGTTTCTAAAGAAATTATTATTATTTTTTAAATGACAGCAAAGCAGGTCATAGGAAAATAAGTCCTAAGTCCACCAGAGGTCTACTATAGGGTACTCCACTGCTTCTTAAATATTTATGGGCTCATGGAAAACCATTCCCTGAATCTCATCTATTGCTAGTTTAAATCTGACTCTCCTCCGCTGGTTTTTGGCTTGCTTGTGTTTCTTAGTTTTTACCTCCCTGAATCCCCATATGGAATCTTTATGAGCACACTTTATTATATTACATTTCTTGCTTTTACCCCATCCAAACTTGCTTTTCTGTAATGTAGGGGTATGTCCAGAGAAAGTGTATTATAAATCCTGGCAGGTCATTACATAGCATTATTGAACAAATCATGGTTGTTTAAAATAATTTTTATATAGCTATTGGTGTGCCTTTTTCAATCAAAACATTTAAGGCATGATCAATTTATGAATGAAAAAATGAGTGAAAATACTTTTTAAAAAATATATTTCTATTTATTTCAGAAAGGAAGGGAGAGGGAGAGAGAGAGCAAAACATCAATGATGAGAGAGAATCATTGATTGGCTTCTTCCTGCACACCCTCTGTGGATTGAGCCTGGAACTCAGGCATGTACCCTGACCGGGAATCGAACCATACCCTCCTGGTTCATAGGTCAATGCTCAACTGAAAAGACTTTTAAAAATAATACTTAACCATTTATTTGGGGGCATCAATTCCTATAACCTAATAAAATATGTTTAAGCTAGCTGAGATTTAGACAAATGCTTGCTCTTCTGCCTTGCCTTATAAAGAACAATTTTCTTTCATTTTATAAGTGATTATTTACTACAGAAGCTAAAAACCCACCATTTGCTTGACTTTTTTTTCCCACTGAAATCTTACAATGAGCACATCTGGAATTCCTTACTAGTTGACTGTAAAAACTGCTTTTGAAAAATTATAAAGACACATTCTCCCCACTTCCTTATAGCCAGTGCCCTGGAGATCATCCAGCTACAGATAGATAAAAACAGACCTGCTTGAAAGCAGATAATTGCAAATGGCATAGCACCAGGGGATCAGAAAATGCCTAGTTCAAGCCAGGTCCAGAAAGAGCGGGTTCCATGTGATTTTACAGATTCAAACGCCAAGTTTCATTTCTTTCTAGTCCACTTCCCATGCAATATTAGCAACTTATCTTGTGGAGTTCTGTTTGTCTGATTTGTATATAGCAGGGGTTATAATATTTTTAGATTAGAAAAATGGGAGGAGTGGTAATGATGATCTACAACAATTAGTTAGGAAAGCAGAAGGTACACAATCTAAATCTATTTGCGGATAATGGGGGCTGACAAGATACTGCATTTCAGGATGTGGTCACTAATGGGAGAGAGAACTACTTTGTCTGACTTCTCAGACCTCCAATGAATAACATTCGATCTGTATATCTATATTAATAAAAGTGTTTTATAGATTGTTCCCCATTGTTATCTGGTTAACATTTTTAACACTTTTAGGAAAGCCCAGTCTCCCAAATCTTTGCAAATTAAATGTGTTCAAATCCTATACTTACCTATTGCTCTGCCTTTTATAGCTTAGCCTGTGATGTGTGCTCTGAGATGCATTCTCCCTAACACTGTTAGAGGCCCATTACCTTTCATACATGAAAACAATGTAAAAATGCATTTCACACACACATGCACACACACATACACATACTTATTTTGGCTTTAAAGTCAGGCACAACTGATTTCCAATCCCAGCCCTGCAACTGGCGATCTGAATGATATCCATCTTGGTTGGGTTAATTTGCATATAATTTCTCTGATTGGCTGGTGGGCATGGCTTGGGCATAGCAGAGGTGTGGACAATTTGCATGTTTCTCTTTTATTAGATTATATTATTTACTACAGAAGCTAAAACTCATCATCTACTTGACTTTTTCTTTCACAGAAATCTTATAATGAGCACATCTGGATTTCCTTGTTAGTTGACTGTAATTTTGAAAAATTATAAATATACCTCCTCCCCATTTCCTTATAGCCAGTGCCTGCGAGATCATCCAGGTACAGATAGATAAAACAGAACTGCTTGGGACCAGATAATTGCAAATGGCGTAGCACCAGGGAATCAGAAAATGCCTAGTTCAAGCCAGGTCCAGAAAGAGCGGGTTCCATGTGATTTTACAGATTCAAATGCCAAGTTTCATTTCTTTCTAGTCCACTTCCCATGCAATATTAGCAACTTATCTTGTGGAGTTCTGTTTGTCTGATTTGTATATAGCAGGGGTTATAATATTTTTAGATTAGAAAAATGGGACTGGCAGTGATGATCTACAACAATTAGCTAGGAAAGCAGAAGGTACAAAATCTAAATCTATTTGTGGATAATGGGGGCTGATAAGATACTGCATTTCGGGATGTGGTCACTAATGGGAGAGAGAACTACTTTGTCTGACTTCTCAGACCTCCAATGAATAACATTCGATCTGTATATCTATATTAATAAAAGTGTTTTATAGATTGTTCCCAATTGTTATCTGGTTAACATTTTTAACACTTTTAGGAAAACCCAGTCTCCAAAATCTTTACAAATTAAATGTGTTCAAGTCCTATACTTACCTATTGCTCTGCCTTTTATAGCTTAGCCTGTGATGTGTGCTCTGAGATGCATTCTCCCTAACACTGTTAGAGGCCCATTACCTTTCATACATGAAAACAATGTAAAAATGCATTTCACACACACATGCACACACACATACACATACTTATTTTGGCTTTAAAGTCAGGCACAACTGATTTCCAATCCCAGCCCTGCAACTGGCGATCTGAATGATATCGCATTTCACTCAACACTCTAAGCCTGTTTTCAAAATAATGGAAGTAAATAAGTTAATTAATATCTATTTATGTTAGTAGTAGTGCTAGCTTAAGAGAGAGAGTGAAAGAGAGAGTCAGACACAGACATACACAGAACCAGGTCTGTAGGAACATAAAAAAAACTGTAAAGAAAGAAAATGCCAAGAAATCTTTTTTGAAGGCTCAGAAATGCTAGTAATGGGGTTTCTAGATGAAAATATCGCTATTTTCAGCCATAAAATTCTAGTTGTGTGTTTTTTTAAATTGTTGTTTGCTTTCGCTTTGATTTGTGTTGTTCCTTGGTTGAATTTGGGGAGGAAGAGGAAAAGGAATTTGTCTCTTATCAAGGAGACAAACGGGGAACTGAACAAGAAGGAGATGCATGGAGCTTGTGATAAGAAATTCAAAGGAGGAGAGAGTTCTGAGGAGTAAACAAAATTACCAGGTTGTAATGAGGGTCAAGTTGGGCAAATGTTGAAGCAAGTGATAGTAATAACAGAGGCATTAGACTAGTAGAAACAATCCAACATAAAGGGCCTTAAGGAAAGAGTGGGTGCCAAGAAATCAAAACTAATTGATTCATGCTATTTCTAAAGGAAGAAATCTACCTTCGAACAATGTACAAGACTATGACTAAAAATATATAGTGTTTTCATGAAATCTCTTTATTATTCATTTTAGGTTTTAACTTTTTTGGCCTTAACTATGTAAGCAAGCTATTTACATTGCATATCGTTCATTGCTCTCTCACAAAAATAATAGTTATAGCTGTTGAAATTTTCAGGATGACATTTGAACTGACTTAATCAGGGTTTATCAAAGATTAAGATAACTGAAGTGACAATTATGATCCCCATAGGTCAGTGGTCAGCAAACTGTGGTTCGTGAGCCACATGCGGCTCTTTGGCCCCTTGAGTGTGGCTCTTCCACAAAATACCTACTTCTGCGCATGGGCCACGAAGTTTCACTCGCACTATACGTGTGCACCCCCATGTGGTATTTTGAGGAAGAGCCACACTCAAGGGGCCAAAGAGCCGCATGTGGCTCGCGAGCCACAGTTTGCAGACCACGGCCCTAGGTCATAAATTGGCAAAGGAAGAAAAACAGTGTTAAGACATTTCAAACTCCGGTTAGTCTCTACACATGTTTCTGTGTAGCTCAGCAGGAAGCAAATGTAGCTGGCACTTAATGAATGCTTCTTTCTGTCTGACGGCACCTCAGTTTCGTTTTTAGTTAAGTCTGATATCCCACACCAGGTTCAGCTGCAGCCTATCCTGGATAAAATGTTTTTAAAACCTTCTGATGCTTGTACATCTTTTACCACCCTGGCCCCAATCTTACCTTAAGTATAACATCAACAGCAGGTATCTTTTAGAGCTGGTAACAAAGCTGATTCTCGAGATTGTTGTGAGTCCTAACTCTGTCTCTCAGTTTAGCTCTGGTTTCTGCTGGTAAACTTCTTCCCGACCAAATCCTGGGGATTTTATTTTTCTTTATAGTCCCCTTCCCCTCACACACAGAGAGAGTAGAGGATTAGAAGTTGGTTTCCCAGAAAAACCAAGATGGCGGCATAGGTAAACACCGGAAATTGCTGCCTCGCACAACCACTTCAAAAATACAACTAAGGGAGGCCACGCCATCCTGAAGAAGGGAACTGTTTGAGACTGGGATCCTAGCCTCCCCACCACCCAGGCTGGTCTCCGTAGCAAACCAGAACCCCACAGCCGCTCTGGTGGAAGACCTGCAACCACAGCTGCAGACCGAGGGACACCCAGACTCCAGGCACCCTGGCCGCAGGTTTCTGTGAGTCACAAAGCCAATCTCCCTCCCCAGCTGCCCCAGGGCAGCTGCAATAGGAACTGCCAGACCTTGGCTGCACAGTGGGGCTGTCTGCACTCACTCAGCAGCAGCAGCAGCAGCAGCAGCAGCAGCAGCAGCAGCAGCTCTGCCTGACTTTTAGCCTTGGTGTTGGAAGTTTGTTTCCCAGGACCAGACTCTGTGGGCAGGGAGACTGTGCTGAATTTGAGCCTGGGTATGCATCCTTGGTGAGACTGTTTCCTGGGACCAGATTCCGCGCCCACGTAGGGCAGGGAGACAGCGCTGAGTTTGAGTCTGGATGTGCGCGAATTAGGGGAGTCTGTTTTCCGCGACTAGGCTACGCACCCAGGCAGGGAGACTGCTGAGTTTGGACCTGGGTGCACATTGTTGGGGACACTGTTTTCTGCAACTGGGTCCTTGCCCATGTGGGGAGACAGCGCTGAATTTGGGCCTGGGGGTGCAGACCC